CATAAATTTAGTTATTTAGAAGAAGCCTGAAGAGGAATTTCGTCAATGAATGTGAAAAACTTGCATGTTTATTTTTATGTAACTGAACCCATTGATTAGAGAATTTCTGTTGTATTTACAAGCTGAAAAAGTGACTAACCCATAAATTGGTAAAAAAGGACCAAATGACTTCATAAATATTGGATCAGGCTGAGCAAGGAAGCAGGAATAAGAATAGAGAATAAAACTTGGAGTTTTCTATAACTCATTCTCTCTATTAGACTAGTAAAGCATTGCTAGATCCCAAGTCCAGCTGAGAAAAAAAATAGTTTTATTAAGCAGATTAAAACTTAGATGTTAGTAATTCTATATTTCTGTAATTTTTTGTACTTTGATAGTGTTTCACTGTACTTAATGTGGTTTTAATTTTTTTATATAAGTATAGTGTTTATGYAGTTCAGAAAAGAAGTTTAAAGGAGATACACTTGTATTACCTATAAGAGCTATTTTGGAATTCAAGACTTGGAAAGCAGATGATTTAAGATACATTGAGAGGCTTCATCATGTGATCTGTCCCATATTCAAAGTCAGAGTGCTCTGAATTTCTAGGTACTCACCAGACTGTGGAGGAAAAATGCTGGAAAAGACACCATCTAGGGCTAAGCCTTAGTTTGCAGTGCCTATACTAGAGAGCAATTTTACCTCCTGGTTTTGTCCTGCCTCAGGATGTGGCTGTGAAAGTAAATGCAACTTTGTCATGTATGAGCACCGCTTCCATTAATRGTAATGGAATTTTCATATGCATGTTGGGTTACTGCCTTTTTCATACTGCAGCAGTCAGCACTGATGTGCTCTGGTATTCCTCTGCCCATCAGCACTGTCATAATCAGCAGGTACATATATTTTCATATATCTGTGGAAATTCTCCTTAAGTAGTCTGGCAAACCTATGTTTTTGAATGGTTTTAGAAGCTTTCATTTATTTTGATTGTTATGTAATCAGGAGGTTCACTAAAATTCAGCAGATAGAAATTGGGTCCAAGGTAACAGATAAACGTACTTTGCAGTTCTGAAATTAAAACACATGCCAAGGTTAAGGGATTGTTAAAATCATCAAACTCCAATTTACTTTTTATTTAATAAAGAAAAAACCTGGCTACAGCATACATGTGATGTAGTGATTTTTGAAAAGCATGAGAAGCCATATAGATTGCAATGTTGAGCTATTGAATATTCTGAGTAATTATTTGAAAATCTTTTGGGCCTGTAAATTGCATACTACGTTTCAAATAATTGGTACTTTGGAATATAAACAAAGTGGGTTTCTACTCACTGTATGAAATGTTAGCATTATATTTATAAAAAACATAAGCTAAAGAGAAAACAAAACATTAAGACTGAGGGCTTTTTGGATTTGGTTGGTTGGRTTTTGGGAGGTTTTATGGAGTTTTTTTGTTTGTTCTGGTTTGTGGAGTTGTGTTTAGTTTGGTTTGTTCTTAAATTCCTGGTCATCTTCAATATCAAGATAAATCTTTAGTTCTCTWCTTTGGTATAATTGGTGTATTCTAAGTAATTGTCTGTATATGATGTTCTCTGTGTCCATTTTACCTAATTATATAGTTATGCACACTGTGGGCTAATGTATGAGAGGTGCCTTGCACTGGAAACAGCTGCATCTCAAAGCAAAATAAGTCCTTTGGGTAACCAGTTACTGACTRTTGTGGGTTAAGGTTTCTCCTTTTGTKTCCTTTCTTGAGGAATTTTTCTTTCCCATTTTGTTGCTTGGATACACTGATTGCCAGGTCATCCTAGGTGAAGACAAAAGAACCTAGCCACACCCAAAAAGTCTACCTAAGCACTTCTCTAAGCACTTCTCCTACCTGGCAGTCTATTGTTTTTTGGAGGTTTTTTTTGTTTGGTTTTTTTTGGTTTTGTTTTGTTCTTTTTTTTTTTTTTTCTTCTCTCTTTGGAGAGAGGGAAGTTCTCATTTCTCACTTGATCCACGGGCTCTGAGGCAGCCACACTGAGGTGTCCTCCAAAGACAAGGACCCACTGGGAAAGTGCTTTGCCAGCCTTCACATGGACCTGCTGCCTGCAGGGGAGAGCTCGCCTGCTGAGGAGCCCAGCATCTCCCATCTCGGTTCCTGTTTTGCTGCACTGTGATCTCCTGCCCCTGTGCCTTGCCGGGGACCCCTGAGATTCATGCTGCAGTGGTCGAGTTTTGCTACACCCGCAGGATTCTGCTCTTCTCTTTGCTCATCTGGCCATCCTGGGGTTTCTTGCTGTCCAGAGGAGCACTGAGATCAGCATTTTATGCTGTGAGTTTGCAGAGGAACTTTTCTCCATCCACCTCTGCCGGTTTTGTGTCCACCATTGGCCACGAGGGAGATCTGAGCCAGCCGGGACCCGCGCCACAGCGCCCCCTGCAGCCGCCGGGGAATCATCGCACCCGCCCTGCTCAGAGCCAACAGCGCCCCTGCCGGCTGGGACTGGAACTGCACCAAAGGGGAGGCTGTGTCTCTGTGAGGCTGTCATTGGGTTTGGGACTGGGCTGGTTGTTGCTATCGTTGTTGTTACTTGTTCCACCTTGTTATGCGTATTAGTAAAAACTGTTATTCCCTTCTACCCATATTCTTGCCTGAAAGCCCGTGATTTCAAAGCTGTAATAATTCAGAGGCAAGGGGGGGTCATATCCACCACTCCAAGGGGGGTCCCTGCCTTCATTGGCAAACACCTGCCCTTCAAACCAAGACACTGACACAGGGGACTGATGGGGTTTGGAAAATTACATGACAGCATTTTTGGGCTGACCTCTTACAATGAGAGCACTAAAGACACAGGTGGAACACTGAGCTCTTRTGTCTATTATCAGTGTAAATTTATCAACTGGCCTGACTGTGCTTGACCTTTTGCATGGTGAGCCCGTACAGTGAGTGCCACAAAGCTCTCCTTTACCAAACCAGAACACATGTACTTCTTTCATTTTACAAGGCCACTGGAAAGGTCAAACACAGTTGTAATTCAGCTGAACAAAAAAGATCAGCTCCCTTTTTTGCATCCTGTACAGTGCCACGAGTAAGTGGCAAGAGGGGTAGAGGTTTAACTCATGGAAGGGAGGTCACAGAGTGAAAGAAGGTAAAGATTTGCTGCTTATAGGTGGTGCAGTACAAGATGTTAACTCGGACCATATGACTTGGTGACTGACAAATACTGACTTATGTACGAATATTTTATGTATCAATACCTGCCCTGGTATGGAATGCAATTCCTTACTTTTCCTAAAGGGTTTTCTTTAATAACCTCACAATTTCAGCTAGCCCATTTAATTGAGAGCATGTTGCTGTCTAGCCTGCAGATAAACTAGCTAACCTTGTGATTTTACCTTCAGTGGAGTGGAGTTTCAGATTACAGGACCATCAGCCCAGAGCCAAGTTATCATGCAGTAATAATAAGCTAACATAGCTGTGTGAGCACATTTAATTAACTGCAAAGATGGAATTCTCAGGTTTTCCTTCACTTGGCCAACATCCAGAAGTATGTAGCTTCTGTTGCTGTAGGGAACGCTGCAGAATTCAAACTATGCACATTTGCATTCAGGCATTATCTGGACAGTCTTTGATATCCTTATCCTGGTCTTGGTGCATTTTTAGTGTGCATTTCTCTCTCAAGTGTTGCATTTGTACTTCACTTAGAAACTAACACTGAGGTTTTACATAAAAATCTCACTTGGAGGGGTCTCTTTATAGTGGCAAAGCTGCTTAAGAAAATATGAAAAGGTGCTTTTTCCACATGCTGTCTTTCTGAATAGGGTTTGTAACAGCTGCTGCAGCTGTGAATATGGCCAGATTGTGAAATATGTTTGAAACATGCTCAAAGTGTGAGTATGCACAAGCTAGACTCTGTGAAAGCCTAAACTGGGCACAGCACRGCACAGCTGCTCCGGATAACCAAGAGCTCTTTCTCCCACATTCGCACTGAACATCACTAGACTGGATTGTTTCCAGCCTGGGTCTCAGTACGGTGTATATTGCTTCTGTATACAGAGAATAAATAGAGGTTAGAGATAGATGCATTTTTGTTTATTGTGCTGTATTTTTTTTACACTTAGAAGATTGTAAGGAAAGCTGGATGAAGTGGGAATGGTGACTAGTTATGTTAGTTACTGTTACAACTCTTTGCATAAGGTGAGGTGAAAAACTGACACTGTGGACTCATGAAATGAATACATTGTGCGTTCTTTTTTCTCCATTTTGTCTTCTACTTTACTCTTTTTTTAAATGTTGTAGCAAAAGGGTTCCTCCGTACTCTTTTTCTCCCGTGCCAGGGTCAATATCCCTCCCCACATTGCTGCAGTTTCCCTCTCCATTTTTAACTACATGTAAAGCTTAWGGTGCCTCAGCTCTTGCATGCTATTTTAAAATACCTAAGATGAGCTTAGATGTATAAAGGTCTGAATCCTGCTTGCTTGTGGTTTGTAGTATAGGGACTAATGTTTCTGTAKGCTAAACACAAGTTTTAGTGAGTGTATGGGTCCTCTCTCAAACATAAGATCAAGTGGAGTGGTTGTTTGGGTGGATGAAGCAAACAAAAAAACCCTTTTGCTAATTTATCTGGATACCCTGGAAGATTTTGTGATTGTTCTGTCATTACCCCCCCTCTTTTTGAGCTAATTTTCAGTTGTGCTAAGAGACCACAAGAAAATTTACCCTAAAAATTTATTCTCCTTCAGCGTTGATAACATTTGGGACTGAGAGACAAGAAATGTTTTAAGACTTACTGTGATTTGATCGGAACTAAGTGAATCTGGCAGCTGGATTAAAATTAGTTTAAAAACAGCTTAGTTCTGTTTATTTTTTTATTGAGTATAAAAGGAAAGCATTGGACTTTTAGCATTTGATTTCCAGCATTCTGGAAATACACATCATGACTGTGCATTAGGCTTTATCTTATTACTTACCATGTTTTTAATGGCACTGTTATAAACCTCACGTCTCTTCAGTAACTCTTCTGTCTCTGTTACAGGTGCTGCTGTCAGGACTGATTGGTGTTGTTTCATGGAAGAGGCCCCTGTCCCTYGTGGTGAGTAACTCAATGCCTTGCATTGTCTGTGGAGATGATTTGCAGTGCTGTTACAGATCCTCATATTTAGAAACCCTTAGTACAAAAAGTGAAAGGCCTTTGAAGTTGTGTTGCATAAATCACTTGGGTGAAAATAGTGTTTTTCTTCTGTCTCACAGACTGTTGGTCTGCTTGTACCTTTGCATTTAACTCAATTTGCCTAAAAATGCACTGCAAAGCGATCTATTTAACAGGTATCTGGATGGGAAAGTGCCCATTCCAAATTAGTAGCTGTTCACCTTTGTCTGCAGAATAATTTTTAGCTGCATTATTATTTCCGTTGTGAGAGTCATATAGTTATTTAATAATGAAGAGTGATCCATTCTTTGTATGTGCATGCTATTAGAGTTTCAGTTAACCTATTAATGTAAAGCATTATCAGATGGAAATCAATCTTACTAGAAACATGTGATGACTGTGTCAATAAGGATGTGTTAGCAGGTGAACATTGCCTTAGAACATTGCCAATGTGTAACACAGTAACATAAAACATTWGTAACAGAGTACTAAAGATAGTCCCCAGAATAAAGAATAGAATGGAGAGTATGAAATTGAAAGTCTTGTACTAATAAGAATAAGCTTAATTTCAGTATTATGAACTAAAACAGTRGGCTTAGAGCTTACATTATTGGAATAAACAATATTCATGCATCAGAAATGTTATCCAGGCCTGTTGAAACCTGGCTTCTTTGATTGCTGAGCACTCACTTGGATGTTGTAAATTCAACTGGGAATTCTAATATCGATTCATTCAGTGAAATGTAAATAGGCAGTCATGGTCAGTGTAATTCAAGGAAATAAAGATAAAAGGGAGGAAACAGTAAAAGGCAACRTTAATGCTTGCAGAACAGCTCACCTTCCCACAGTCTGCTCTAGGAAATAATTTCTTTCCATGAGCTTAGTGCTCATGAGTCAGATCCTGATCTTCTTCTGTATTGGTGCTTGGTGGTGATACAATAACCAGCTGGAAGAATGGGCACAGGGATGATGTTTTCTGTGGGTGATCAAGCTGTGCAGTAGTTTTACAGTAGCTGTATGATATCCTGTTTCCCTTGCTGAATTGTCCATAMCTTTAAGCAGTTGGACCCCACGTGCACAGGGTGACTGTTGTGATTGGCAGCCAATAATGTACAACTTTACACCCTCACAGCACAGAGTGCCACCAACCTGCTGAGGAGTCATGTTTCTTGTGCTCTCTTTATACAACACATATGCCAAATACATATGGTCAATAATGACCTTTTAACCTATTTTATAACATTATAAGCAAGTAAATAATTGATTACAATACATGTCTTTTTTTGTTGCAMTGTGTTGCAAAATCTGGCTGAGAGTGATAGCTGAAAGATAGATAGATAGCTAGCTTTATTATTTGAAGCTATGAATAAAGTTATATAAAATTAAACCATACACCATCTGTGACGTTCTGAAAACTGGTGAAACTGTGATAMTATATCAAGGTGCCAGTTTTCTGCATATCTTGGCTTTGTGACTAGAACAGGTTTTATAATAACCAGTGTTTTGACTATTGCTGAGCAGTACTTGTGCTGTATCAAGGCTTTCCAGTTTTCCCACACAGCCTCACTTGCTTTGGGTTTTTCCTTCCTCTTTCCTTTGCTTATTAAACTATCTTTATCTCCACCCACAGTTGTTTTTTTCACTTAGGCTTTTCTAAATCTCTTCCAGTCCTGCTGCAAGGGGCAGTGAGTGAATGGCTGTGTGGTGCTTTCCTGCTGGCCAAGGTCAGCCCCTCATGCTACTGGATGTTCATTGCTCCACTCTGTAATCATACAGGATTTTTACACAGATTCATTGTCTTTTCTTTACAAATGTATTATTTTCTGCAGGCAGAAAGAGGAAGTTGAAGAAACATTAAATACAAATAGTTCATCAACCATTAACTCCTGGCTGTATCATAGTAGAGATGTATTATGTAGTATTGGTAAAGAAAAGAGCATGGTGTTGCACAGTTTAACACTTTGGAACCAAAGTCAAAACCGAGAGTAATTGTGTATTTATAAGCTATTAGTATGGATGCTGTTTTGTATTATACATTCAGTCAAAGATTTACAAATGTGTATGTACTAGGACATTTTACTGCAATATTAATGTGCAGAAATTTCGATGTTCTCCTGCTAAAGTGTTTTTGCAAATCTCAATTATCTGGAAAATCTTGTTGGTTTATCTAAATTTTCTTGGTCACCTCCTAGTCATCAATTGCTTATGTTGCCAAAATACTTTATATATGCAAGGAATCAGTATTTGCTATCAAACTGGTATTTATATTTACCAGAGGAAACACTCAGGCAAAGGAGATACTTAAATAACTTACACATTSATTTTGAATAATACTTTCCATATATTTCAGATGTTTCCTCATTAAGCTTTCTCTATTTTCAATTATGAATTCTCAGAGTATTGGTAGTGCTTTGGAGAAATCTCTTCAAAGTCCCTTTTTTGGAAACCAAGTGTTTGCTGTGTCACTAGCACTGCCTAATGTTAAAATGCAGTGGTRAAGTAGGAATTTGTTACCTTGTGGTTTGTGGAAGTGTCTGAAAATTGGGAGAGAGCTTGCGTAGCCCGATGCTGAATTACCTTGTAAAAAAACTTGAAACTGTGCAGTCAGATTATTTTTCTGTTACAATCTAATCTATGGTAATTGCAAATCTGTTTGTGCTAAGGAGATTAATTCAGCCTCTGAATTGAGTTGAAAGCTTCTCTGTTGCCATCTGGCATTTGGGTAACCCCAGAAAAATATTTTTACATTTCTAACTGAAAATTTTTACAATAAGCTGATAGATTTATTATTTTTTTTCAATGAAAAGAAATAAGGAGTTTCTTAATGGCTGTGAATGTCAGTGAGCACGAGGTAATACTACTTATTAATAAATGATCTTGATTACTCAGAGTAGCTATTTAAAAGCATTTACTATGAAATGTGCATTCCAGAGCTAGTTCTGTGCACCAGTGAACATGCAAATCAGTGCATATATAACTCAGTTTCAATGTGTTGTCCCTTCAAATGAACCATTACTTCAAGCCTTTTTTTTGACAAGCACGTAGGATTTATTTGATTTAGGTAAAATAAAAAAGAAGCCACCCTTAGTAGCTGCAGTTCACCCTGCCTGTCAGGCARAAGGATGAATTGCTGTGCAAGGTCTCAGGCTGCACCCATGGTAAGAATCAGTTAAATACAAATTTGACTTTGTTAAAAAATACTAATCTTGCATCAGGTTGGTAGTTTGTTGCAAAATGAGAGATTTTCTTTCTAGAATTCCAGTGAAAAACTTGAACTATTTGAAATTCAGGCTTACATAATTTTCTCTTCTATGTAAAAATCATTAGAAAAATACCTGTTTTGAAAAAGAAAATTACTAATAATTTTTAATTAATACATCTATATAAACTCTTGCCCGTAAGATTCATGAATATGTAAAACTGGTCCAAATTATCTCACTGTTTATCTCTACTCACTAGATATCATTGCAGAGTATAGCAGGAATAACCAAACTTCAGGAAAYAGATGAAGCATAAAATGTGTAGAAATAGTGTATGAGTAAGCTTCCTATATTCTCCTCAGTGAGGTGGASTGTTGGCATGTTCCTGGCCATGCTGCCTAACCTGAGGTCCTAGAGTAGCTTAAGTGATGAGACAAGTATTTTTAAATTCTTATAAGAGAATTTACAGCTTCCTTTCAGATGAAATCTGAGAGACATCTTTGAACTTAAGAAAAAAAAGTGGTTGTCCTCTCTCCAATGCCCCACCCTCAAGCAGAGATTTGGGGTTTTATTCCTGGAATAAAAAGATGATCTGTGTAGTGGGGAGACAATGTCAGCAAAAACAGGTCAAGACTGCAGGAGAAAAGCAAGTGAAAGGATGCACAGCAGGGAGAAAGCAGAGTCTAAAGGTACCCATCACCTTGTGTGTTGCTGCTGACTTTGATACTTGTGTGATGTTGAGAGGAGATGCAGAACATCCCTCTGCCTTAACAGAGCCCTTGATCACTGCAGTATCATTTCAGCATGAGTGTTCTTTGAATTCCTTGATCAAAATGTTCATTAGGAATCCTGCTATTAGACAAACACTTGTCTTTGAGGCTAAGGCATTAGTTTAAAGGTGAACAAAACACTGGGTGAAAACAAGTGCCTCTTACATATCAGAGTGTCAAAGATAAACTGGGAGGGGGCTGAATGCTGAGTGTTGCTGCTTTCAAAAAAGAAACTTGGAAAGTTGTAACAGCTTCTGTTTGGAAAGCAAATCAGTGCTGGCTCACAAAGTAGCTCTTGTAATGTCAAGCTGTAAGTTTTTCACACCAGCTCAGAGCTGATGTGAACCCAGGATTTGAAATTGAGAGCAGAATGTTTTTCTTTGACCTCTTTTCGGGGAGCATGGAAGGAAAATAATCAAATTCAGAGGAGCTGAATGCTAAATCAGGGGGAAGAGAATTGTGGAGGGCTTGGACAGGAAGGAGAAATTGAAATGTGAGTCTGGCAACATAAGGAATACAGAGATCAAAAGCTCTTGAGAAGAACAGCATCTAAATGATCAGAAAAAAGTGAACCAAAACCATATTAATGCAAAATCACACAATGGAACCTCTGATGTTTCAGAGTGCTAAAAGCACCATAAATAACTGAATTGCAATAGATTTGTATCTTAGGTTTGAGTGATTTCAGTGAAGAAAATGTAGGCTGTAAATATTTTCCTCTGCTTGGGACATAGTTAAGTTTTCTTTGCCTCTTGCCTTCCTGTTCTCCCTTCACTGAGGGTCAGTTGTATAAAGCACTGACACGGYTRTACTGCTGTGGTAACCAAACTGCAYCAGCTGCCTCTACACACTATTGCAGCCCTGCTGGAGCTCTGCTTAAAGTCTGTGAGACAGGATGTACAAATGAGGTTAATGTATTTATTTATAACTGTATTCCAGGTTACGTCAGTTTGAAAGCAGAGTAAAATATGTTTCATTGAAGCTGCTTCTCTTTTATATTTGTTTCAAACAGATGCACTTAGAGGTCTTTTCCCAATGTATGAACTGTTGTTTTAGGCCATGAAATAACATCTCTTGTTGKATTGAGTAGGGGATCTGAAAGGAGTGGTCTTCAAAGCTTGCAGTTACAGTTTGTGTAAACTCCAATTATATTCATATTCCAAGGGTTTTTTTGCAGGTAGATTAATATAAATATTTAGCTATTAAAAAGTGTGCTGTGTTACCCATTGCTGGTTGGTTTGTTTTGTATTTTTTTTTTTTAACATGATTGCTCATTCCCTTCTTTTTTCTTTAATATCATGAAACAACTGACAGATAAACCTATCTTCTGCCCTTTCAGAATATACCTGACAGAAGAGGAAGGGGGGGGGGGGGAAAGGAGAATGACTCAGTAAAGTTGTGAACTGGGTGAGAAAGAAACAACACCTGAGAAGGAAACAGAAGTGAATCAGAGAAATCTTTGCAGTGGTGGAGAAAAGACGTCACAGGGTGCAGCATCTCTTTAGAATGAGCATTCTATGTCCTCTTTTACAGCTTAACACTTCTTAGAGCTTTCTCTTGCCYGAGTCTCTGTCTGCACCTCTGATACCCTTTTGACAAAGGCTGCCTGTTCCTGGTCCCAGCTGCCAMCAGCTGTCACTCCTGTGAGGATCTGGACTCCTCTGCTGAACATCCATGTGCTAATTAGTTATCCCCAGTGGTGGAGTTTGAAAAGCCCACAGGCAGCTTTTCCTGGAGAGC